TGACGCGCGTTATGCCCCCGACCTCCCCCCCCCATAACGTAGCGGCCCCCCCATCAGTGCGCCCCTGGCGCTGCCGCAGCGCGTCCGGCACCATAGTCTGGGGGCGGGGGAGCGCTACGTCACGCTCGCCCCCGCCCCCCCTCATTCCCCCCCATGGCGCCCGGCATGGCCGCGAATAAAAGTGCGCTCTATATGGATGTGCGTATTCATATTGCGCCGGCCTCCGGCCAGTGCTGCCGATCCAGGGCGCTCCGGATAACAATAATGGCGATGATGACAACGATGATGATGGTGAGGATGGTGATGATGATGGTGATGGTGATGTTCATGACTATATGGTTGAATATGATGATTCTGATGATGTTTATCATGGTAATGTCCACGGTGAGGAGCACGAAGATGGCGATGACGATCCTGGGGAAGCTGTCGGGAGGTCGTGTGGCCCACGTTCTGAAATCGAGCAACTGGGTGTCAGGGGTCTTCCATGCCTTGTTTCCTGATCCACCCAACATCTTCTCTCTCCCAAACTTGTCGATTGTTCCTACGGCGGGCCTCCTTCACGCATTCGAAGCTCTCTTGCCGTCCGGATGGTGGTGACTGGTCCACGTGAGTCTGTGCTGCGTTACCATTGAAATTGTCGTTGCCGCTGCGGCTGTTGCCGTCGATGAGGGGCGCGGACGGGAGGGAGTCAACGTGAGAGCAGAGACCGTCGGGGGCGTGAAAGGAAAGAACCCCTTGTCCACACACACACACACACTCACTCATTGAGCAGTTAAGATAAAATGAAGAATTTCTGCCGAGCTTTCTTGGGGAGGTCGTGGGGCTCTTGGGGAGCCTCGAAAACATCTCGGGCCGCGCTCGGGCCATCTTGGGCGTTTCGGACTGATCTTTCACTGATTCGGGGCCAGTGTGGGTTTGTCCGAGGGCCTCTTCGGGCCCTGCTGGCCCGTCCTGGGTCCTTCTCGGGCTGGGCAAAGTTGCGCGGGAATATTCCGGGGGCCCCAGAGGGCGCGCGGAGAGGCCCGAGAGATTTGAAAGTTTGGGGGCCGAGCCCACGAAGGATCATCTGGCTTGAGGGCTGAGGCTCAGGGGATGGAGCAAGGGACCTCGGGAAGCGTATTGGGGCTCGTTTTGGGATTTCGTGGGCCTTGCTTCGGGCCTCTTGAGGGCGTTCTGGGTTCTCTTGCGGGCTTTTTGGGGGCCTGTTGGGGCCTCCTGGGGGCGTCTTGGAGCCTCTGCATTGCGCTGCACGGCGGCGAGAATGGCGCCCCCCCATCCCCCCTCCCTCTGCCGAGCGACTCCCCCCCTTCCCCTCCCGTTCTTCAGGAGTTGCGTTGGGAATGGCGAGCCCCCCCCGCCCCCTGCAGAGAAAACGCCCTTCCCGTTGCCGAGCGCTGAATGGCGTCGGGAATGGCGCCCCCCCGCCCCCTGCAGAGCGCTCAAGTCCACGGCTCCCGAGCACTGAATGGCGTCGGGAATGGCATCGGGCATGCCCCCCCCCTCCCCCTTCCGCCTCCTTGCAGAGCGACACCCCCCCCCTCCGGGTCTCGAGCATTGAATGGCGTCGGCGGAGCATTGAATGGCGTCGGGATTGGCGCGTCCCCCGCCCCCCCCCTGTCCGCGGCCCCCGAGCGAACGTGCCACGCGCCTCCCGAGAGCACTGAATGGCGTCGGAAATGGCGCCCCACCCACCCCCCGCAGACCGAACCACTCCCCAGCTCCCGAGCACTGAATGGCTTCGGAAATGGCTTTTCCCCTCCCCCCCCCCCGCCCCCCTTCCTTGTCCGCGGCTCCCGAGCAGCGAACCCCGCCCCAAGGTCCCGAGCACTGAATGGCGTCGGAAATGGCGCCCACCCTCGCTTGTCCACGGCTCTCGAGCAGCGAGCCCCCTCCCCCCGGGTCCCAAGCATTGAATGGCGTCGGGAATGGCGTCCCCCCGTTCCCTTGTCCAGGGCTCCCGAGCAGAAATGGCGTGCCCCCCCCCCCCGCCCCCTCGTCCACGGCTCCCGAGCAGCGAGCCCCCTCCCGGGTCCCGAGCACTGAGTGGCGTCGGACATCGCATCCCTTCCTTGTCCACGACTCCCGAGCAGCGACCCCCCTCCCTCCCGGGTCCCGAGCACTGAATGGCGTTGGAAACGGCGCCCCCCCCCGTTGTCCACGGCTCCCGAGCAGCGAACCCCTCTCCCGCGTCCCGAGCACTGAATGGCGTCGGATCCCCCTCCCTTCCCCTTGTCCGCAGCTTCCGAGCAGCGAACGCCCTCCCGGGGTCCCGAGCATTGAATGGCGTCGGAAATGGCACCCTCCCCCGCTGTCCACGGCTCCCGAGCAGCGAACCCCTCCCCCGGGTCCCGAGCACTGAATGGCATCGGAATTGGAGTGCCCCCCCCCCGCCCCCTCGTCCACGGCTCCCGAGCAGTTGACACCCCTCCCGGGTCCCGAGCACTGAATGGCGTTGGGAATGGCGTCCCCCTCCTTCTCCCTTGTCCACGGCTGCCGGGCAGCAAACCCCCTCCCGGGTCCCGAGCACTGAATGGCGTCGGAAATGGCGTCCTCACCCCCTCCTTGTCCACGGTTCCCGAGCAGCGACCCCCCCCGGCTCCCGAGCATTGAATGGCGTCGGGAATGATGGCGTGCCCCCCCCCGCTGTCCACGGCTCTCGAGCAGCGAATCCCCTCCCGGGTCCCGAGCACTGAATGGCGTCGAAAATGGCGCCCCCCCCTTGTCCACGGTTCCCGAGCAGCGAATCCTCCCAGGGTCCCGAGCACTACTGAATGGCAGCGGAAATGGCGCCCCCCCCTTGCAGAGCGAAGCTTGAGCGAGCTCAAGTCCACGCCCTCAGAAACTCACACGCTGGCTCAGCGGATTTCACATGTATGTATACATAATCAGCGGCAGCAGCGTGGAATGGGGATTCCCCGCTGCAATGTCCCGACGGAGAACCGCGGGTCACGCCCGGAGGCCGCGACGAGGACATCCACCTCCACCCTCCTTGACGTCCACCACCTCATCCTCCTCAGTCTTCCGCAACAAGCACCTGCTCGTGCACCTTCTCAAGCAGCACCACCCTGGCATCCCCCTCCCCATCGTCCTCCTCCTCCTGGCCATATTAGTCCTCCTACTCCTCCTCGTCCTGCTGCTGCTGCTGCTCCTCCTCATCCTCCTCGTCCTGCTGCTGCTGCTCCTCCTCCTCCTCCTCCCTTGCCTCCTCCTCGTCCTCCTCCCCCTCCTCCTCCACCTGCTCCTGCACCAGATCATGGATAAGACGTGGCAGGCTGCAGGAATAAGACGGCGCCGGTGCACCTACGTCCGCGTGCAGCTTGCGCGCGGGTGAACGCGCAATCGCTCCCCGCGGCATCGCCCCCCAACTACATACTAGGCGGCGCAACCGACCGCTTCTGTCAAAGCCTCGTCTCCCCCCTAGGAGGCGGTTAACCCGCCCATCCTGCTAGCAGACCGTGGAGGCCTTGGATAAGGAATCCAGGGTCTGGAGCCTTGTGGGGATCCACTTGCGTGGAAGGGGGGGGGGGGGGGCAGAAGTTGTCCGCCCCCATTCATTGTGAGCTCTCTACCCTCCCTCCGTCTCCTCTCCCCCCCCCTACTTCCTCTTCCCTCCCGCCTCCCCTCTCCCTCCCCCCCCTCCTACCTCCCCCCCACCCTTCCTCCGCCTCAGATCCCCTGGAGGGGGGCGGCAGGTGAGCGGTGCGGTTGCAGTTGCGCGCCCGCGGGCGGGTTGAAATTTGTCGCCCGGTTGCGGTTGCGGTTGCGCGCCCGCGGACGGGTCGAAATGCGTCGCCCAGTTGCGGTTGCGCGCCCGCGGGCGGTTTGAAATGTCTCGCCCAGTTGCGGTTGCGGTTGCGCGCCCGCGGGCGGGTTGAAATGTGTCGCCCAGTTGCGGTTGCGGTTGCGCGCCCGCGGGCGGTCTGAAATGTGTCGTTCAGGTGCGGTTGCGGTTGCGCGCCCGCGGGCGGGTTGAAGTGTGTCGCCCAATTGCGGTTGCGGTTGCGCGCCCGCGGGCGGGTTGAAATGCGTCGCCCAGTTGCGGTTGCGGTTGCGCGCCCGCGGGCGGGTTGAAATGTGTCGCGTAGTTGCGGCTGCGGTTGCGCGCCCGCGGACGGGTTGAAATGTGTCGCCCTGTTGCGTTTGCGCGCCAGCGGGCGGGTCGAAATGTGTCGCCCAGGTGCGGTTGGTGTTGCGCGCCCGCTGGCGGTATGAATTGTGTCGCCCAGTTGCGGTTGCTGTTGCGCGCCCGCGGGCGGGTTGAAATGTGGCGCCCAGTTGCGGTTGCGCTTGCGCACCGGGGCGGATTGAAATGTGTCGCCCAGTTGGGTTTGCGCGCCCGCGGGCGGGTTGAAATGTGTCGCTCAGGTGCGATTGCGGTTGCGCGCCCGCGGGCGGGTTGAAATTGTCGCCCAGGTGCGGTTGCGGTTGCGCGCCCGCGGGCGGGTCGAAATGTGTCGCCCAGTTGCGGTTGCGGTTGCGCGCCCGCGGGCGGGTTGAAATGTGTCGCCCAGGTGCGGTTGCGGTTGCGCGCCCGCGGGCGCGTTGAAATCTGTCGCCCAGTTGCAATTGCGGTTGCGCGCCCGCGGACGGGTCGAAATGTGTCCCCCAGTTTCGGTTGCGCGCCCGCGGGCGGGTTGAAATGTTGTGATCAAGGTGCCTTCCTAACGTTCAATCAGTCAATCAGTCAGTCACGGGCGGGCACGGAATTCCACCCGGCTCCGCCGGGAAAATATGTTCGTCCTCAAAACCTGCACATGCAGCCGTGTTGCGTTGCGTTGCGTTGCGGGGGGGATTGCGTCCAGGTCCACTGGTGGGTTGTTCCAACACATGTAGCGACACGGCGAGTTGGAAAACCGGCTCCATGTGCACGAGCATGGTTTGGCGACGCCGACCGTCTACCGTGGTTGGTTGGCGCCCATTGCCTCCCCCCCGATGCGCCCCTCACCAGGCCCACGCTGTTACCAGTTCTGAAACCATCGCCAGAAAACGTACACACGCAAAATACAGTGTGCTGCCATTTTCTTCGCTTCCTCGCGCGCGCACGCCGCACAGTTGCATGGCAGCGCGCGCGCGTGTTTCCGCGCTGCCTCCCCCCCTGCCGCGTGTTTCGTGCGTTCCACCGTGCCTCGGGCGAAGTCATCTGCCGAAGGCACACACCTGGAGGAACCCGCGGCCCCGCTCCTCCAGCGAGGGCCCCACGGTCCTATGGGGGGGGAACACGGACACGCGACGGAGTCGGGTGTTTTGAGATGTGAGGCGCAGTCTTCACGAGGCCCCAGGCCCGTTGGCAGCCGCCCGCATCGCCTGCGACGAGGGCCTGGCCGCCCTGTACAGGGGGGTCTCCGCCCAGTGCTGCGAGGAGGCCCTGGAGAACTTCGTCTTCTTCTACGTGTATGCCGGCCTGAAGAGGCTGGGGGCCGCGAAAGTCGAACGACAATAGTGGGGCGGACGGCAACGGGGGGGCAGTAAACGTTGGGGGAAGGGGGGTCGAGGGTTGCAGGGTAGTGGCCCAGAGGGGGCCCTGAACGGCCGCGAGCTGCCACCGCGGGTCGAAAAGGTGTACGACAGGTGCACGCTTCTTCACCCCAGTTGTGTTGCCCCCACGGCTAACGAACGCCAGAACAAGGTGGCATGAACAACGCTTTTCCGAGGTCTGTGCGGGGTGTTCGGGACGGTGGTGGGATCCCCCCTGGCGCGCTCCGCGCGCCAGGGAACGAGGGCCAGCGCCACCCCAAACGAACAAGTAGAGATACGAATAGAGTGAAGCACCACTAGGCGGCCTGTGTTCCACAGTGCAGACCAATAAGATCCGCACTGGACGTCACCCAAAGTTTAGTTGCTTCCACGTGAGCGACGTAATGACAGAGGGATCGACTGCGCGGACATTCGCGCGTGAGTGGCCCGCGCAAGTTCGCGTTTACGCGCCGCCATATCGTCCACGTGGCGTGCCGCATTGGCGGCCGCAGGTAAGGTCGAGATGCCTTGGTTTGCACGGCCCCCTTCCTTTCGTCTGGCACGTGCTTCCCAGACATGCGATGCCTTGATGTTTCAATACGGAGTCCTTAGAAGTCGCGACCCTTCCTCCAGGGCTGCTTTTTCATCCAGGGCCGATGTTTGACGGTCCTGGTTTTGACGAGGGCCCCCCCGGAGGATGAGAACGGTCAAAAATTGTATGTCGCGATTTGTTTCACGATGTTCCATGTGTTTTTCGTCCCGGATCCGTTCTCGATGGTCCCTGGGCACGATGACGGGCCCCAGAGGCCGAAATCGAGAAAAGCGTTGGCCCGATGGGGTTGGGGGTGGCGGCCAGACCGGCTTGTGGGAGGACGGCCGAGGGGTGAGGTCATGCGGGCTGCTTTGGGCGTGTAAAGAGGCAGCAGGGGGAGGCGGGTAATACGGAGATCTGGGGTCGATGGAGAATCACGTGTTTCTAGGCCTCCCAGATGGGGCCGAGCAGATGGGATTGCATCGCCGATGCGGCGCGATGCGGAGCCCGCTTTTCTCCACGCTGTCGCTGTTGGCGCCGATACATCGTCGACCTCACCGACGCATCGCCGATGCAGCGCGATCCTCCATTGGAACACCATCTAGGAGGGCTTCCGTGTGAGAGCCCCCAGAAAGGCTCGCGCAGAGGGGCCAGGATCTGTCTGCGGCCCTGAGCCTGCTGATCGGCTATTGCGCGGGCGTGTGCACCACGTCCTGCGTGATGCCCGTCGAGACCCTGTCCACCAGGCTCCAGCTCTCCAGCTCGGGTGCTACGAGAGGCGTCCCTGGCCCAAAAGTGCCCCCAGGACTCCCAAGTAAGAGGCGCGACGGGAGGTTTTGAGCAGTTTCCGGCCTCCTATGGGGCCCTGGCCAGCCCCTGGGCCGTAAAAAAGTTTCGGGACGAAAAGCCGGCCTTGGGGAAAGGGCTGGGACTTCGCGAACCTCGTATTGGAAATTCAAAACGCCGCATTTCTGGGAAGGGGTGCCCCCAGGATCCCCCGGAAGTTCCAGATGGCCTGCCAGCAGAGAACCGAAACACCGTATCAAGAGGATGCGGGAGGGCAAGCCACCGCGATTGTGGTTTGGTTGTCAGCCCTTGCCCGCTTCTTCTGTTTTTTTCTAGCGTTTGCGTTCGGGCAACTTGGACGCTGCTTGTCTCTCTCTAGCCCCGTGAGGGCTCCAAACATGAAGCGAAGAGCTGGGGGCACCGCTGGGCCAGGGCCACTGCTGGCAGCACCTGGCCAGCGGGGAGAGCCCGTGGGAGCTGCTGCGCCGCGTCCTCCGCGACGAGGGCCCCGGCGCCCTGTTCAACGGGATCGGGTACAACATTGTTCAGGAGGCTTGCGCCACTCCGCCGACCACCATACGAAGTCAGGAGCCCATGGGAAGTGCTGGGGCGAGTCATGGTCCTCAACGTTGTGCCCACACGTTCGTCCATGTTGGGCTAATATACGTATGGAAAGGGTACAGCCAATCATTTCGTGCGACTCTGCAGTCCCCATTCTCCAGCTTCGCCGCCGCACTGATCTGCCACCGCTCTGCGAGGGGCGGGTGTGGGCTGAGGGTAGGGAGCAGGGGGGGGGGTGATCCAGGCCCAGCTCCAGGGTGGGGAGGCTCACAGGAGGAGAAGATACCAATACTCCATACCTGTGCTCGTCCTGGAGAGCTCTCGTCGCCGCGGCTGGAGTATCATGGAAATTCTGGTCAGAATGCACCCTGGGAGAGGTCCAGGTAGTAGCGGTATCGGCTTTTTTTCAGCCCCCGTGGCGATCCAGAGGGGCGGTCTTGGCGCAGTGGGGCCGGTTATTGACGGTGGCAATGAACTCACTGAGAATAACAATGTGAGGGCCAGGATATTTGTCTTCGATACTTCGCGCTTCAATAGATTATGCTCTCAATAAAAAAGGTTGCTCGCTAACGCTTCTTTTTCTCAGTGGGCGCAGCGCCACCCCGTGGCGCTCTGGAGGCGCCCACGACGCGGCGCGAGCGCGGTGGCGGATACTCTGCGCGAATCCAGCAATCCAGAACACCCTCTTCGATAGGCTCAAGGGCACCATCCTGGTACGCAGGGACGCTCGTTCGGCGCCGGGCTCCCGGCGCGCGGCCCTGTCCGCGGTGGAGGCCTCGGCCCTCGGGGCGCTGGCGAAGGCGTTCGCCCTCTTCCTGTGCTACCCGCTGGTGCGCCTGAAAGTCCTGAGGCAGGCGGCCCAGAGGAAGGAACCCAAACACGGCTCAGATAGCCCGAGCGAGGGTGCTCTGACGCCGAGGCAGTACGCTGGTCTGCTGTATCGCGGTCTTGGGGCGGCCCTGTCCAAGAACATTGTCTCCGCCGCGCTCATGTATTCGCTGAAGGAGAAGATCGCCCGTCTGGTGGTGGCTGGACTGCAGAGGCTCTTGCAGCGGCCGGCGCTGCGATGAGTTGCTAGCATCCATCGTGGAGGTGACGTCCGCATCCGAATGATGCAATGGTCAGGCATCATAACTAGTTGAGCGGTAAGTTAGATGTCCTGCGTCCGCCTGATGATCATCCTCGTTTGCCGAATTCTTTATCGGAGACGCCTACGGCAAATCACCGCCGCCCCCAGCCTTTGTAGAACCGCAAGGTACTGCGGATTTGCACCTGCCAAGAAAACTTCACCAATTCCTCAATTTGCGAGGGGCTTGGAACTCAGGACCACCTCAGAGTTAGATTGACCACCGACACTATCTGCTGAACCGCAACGCACTCGTGGCCGATGATCGAGGCAACATAAGCTCGACTGCGGTTGAGTTCTGATTCCCCGAAGTTTCGTCCCGACGACATGGGGAGAACGTGAGGACCAGAGTGAAGGGCTGTCTTGGAGCCCGTTTTGGGAGACTTCGTTGTGGGCCGTGCTTGGCCATCACGGGCTTCTCTCGGGGCTACTTATCTTGGGGCCATCCTGGGCCGTCTTGGGCCCGTCTTGGGCTGTGATAGGGGCTCTCCTGGAGCCCTCTTGTGGCCCACTTAGTTCTGCAGGTGGTGATCTCGGGGAAATTTTGGGCCGCCTTGGGCGGTCTGAAGTCCAGCGAGGCGAGCGTGCAGCACTCTTTCAAAGCCAACGGGGTTTTATGATGCCCGCCTCTGTGGGGGCGCCTCGGGCCATCTTGGAGCCTTCTCAGGCCATCTTCGGGCCATCTGGGGACGTGTCGGTGCTGGTATTTCGGCCTGCCTCTCGTGGAGGCCAGCCGGTGCCACGCAGTCACGCCTTCGATGAATAATGAAGACGGTAGGTTCGTGTCGTGTTGACGCGGTGACGACCCAGCGCGGGCGTTCAAGGTTGAACACCGCCTGTGGCCCAAGAATCGTCCAATATTGAACGGTGTGGCGATCGAACATCCGCCGATCGTTCAAGGTTGAACCATCCACGCGGTGTCAGACACCGACGCCGACGTCGTCACGACACGAACCTGCCGTAGGGTGGGACCGTATATTCTGGCACCGTGTTTGGGTCATGGACTGGAGGCATTTCGGGGTCTCGTAAGGGGCCTTGTGGGGGGCCTCACGGCGGCTTTTTTGGAGCCCCTTGGGAACCTCGAGCCTCTTCGAAGCCTCGCTGGGCCTGAGATCCTGAGAGCGTCTTGGTGGTCTCAAGGGGCCGTCTTTAGGGAGGACGGCCCCCGGGGACCCTTCGAGGTTCCTTCTTTTTGGGCACCTTTTGGATGGGGGCCTTTTCGGGGTCTCCTAAACGCTTGTTTGAGGGCTCGGGCACCGTATCGGGGCGACCTGGGGAGCCTGTTTGGCCATCTTCTGGATGCTCTTAAGACTGGAACAGTGTGAGTGCTCACGCTTACACAAAACGTTGCGACATTGATGCAATCGATCTTGGGGCCCTAAAGATGGCCAGATAGATCCTAAGAGGGCCCCACGAGGGCTCCTCGGGGCCATCTTGGCGAATGTCGGAAGCCCCGAGCCAAGGTTTGGAGGCCTCGGGGGAGGCCACGTCGGGAACTGCAAGAGGCCGCCGTTAGCTCCGCGAGCTGGGAATATAGGGTCATCGGAGGTTCGAGAGGACTATGGTCGGTACGATCGACATGGGCACGGAAAACATCTGGATGGAGATCGACACCACCTGTTGTCCATTATGAACAGGGCCCGCTGTCGGTGTCGCCGTGGACGTTGTCCATGTGAGGTAAAAAATCATCCCGTACAAGAGCGCCATAGACAACATTGTTGTTGGGCACGCTGCCCGTTTTCCCGTCCCCCTTTCGGGAGAGCCAATTTAGTGGAGTTTGGGACACTCCGCTACGTGCCAGAAGGCAAGGCGGATCCCGCCGTAGTTGCGCAATGAGGGCTTTAGATTGTCTCCCCTTGGGTTTTTTCCCCTATCAGAGCTTGCCTCTGTAGGGGTCCTAGCGGATTCATATGGTTAGGTTAGGTTTGTCGCCGATTTTCGCGGCACGCCCGGGTGCCCGGGGGTGCCCGGGGCCCGGGTGCCCGGGGGGTGCCCGGGGGTGCCCGGGGGTGCCCGGGTGCCTGGGTGCCCGGTGTGAAGAGTGCACTCCCCTGCCCCTCTGCCGCCCGTGCCACCATGTGTGTATGTTGTACACGCTTGTCTTGTTTTGTGGCATGCACGCTGCCCGCCGCTGTTTTGGCCCTAGTCCTAGGGCCCTGGGACGCACCCGCAGTTGGACTGCCGCGCGGTCTTTGCTGAAAACAACTGCACTGACATTGGTAGCGGAGCTAGTAAGCTCCAGCGGACGCACTGCGTGCTCTGCTTCGGTGGTTGTGACCACCCGCGTGGGCCGCCATGGCCACCAGCCACGACGGCTCAGACGTGGAGGCTGCGTCCTCCGCAGGCACAGGTCCCCCGGACCTGCATGCAGTCCTGCGCGTGATGGCCGAGACCCAGCGGGAGCTCTTGGCCTTGCATCGGGATCGTGGCGACGGCGGTCCCAGACGTACACGTCTACTGCTGTCGCAGGTGAGGCTCCCAGAGTTCGATGGTGGAGTCGGTACGAGTACTAAGAAGTACCGAGAGTGGCGCAAGGAGGTTGAAGTCATCCGCAACCTCAATCAGCTCTCAGACGTGGAGCTGGGCCTGATCATCTACAGTCAAGTGACAGGTCGAGCCAAAGAGCTCATCGAGGTGCTTGACGCGTCGGACCTCCGACGCGAGGAGACGCTCGAGACCATCTTTGCTATCTACGACGACGCCTTCGAGAAGATGGATCACGAGCGCCTCGATCAGGTGCATCAGGATTGGGAGCGAGCACACCGTCGAGCTGGGCAGCCGATCGTGGATTGGACCACGTACCTGCGCAAGAAGCGCATGGAGTTACAGCTCGAGGATCCCACATCAGCGATCAGCGATCGCGCATTGGCAAGCAAGATGCTTCGTGGCGCTGGACTGTCGCAGAAGGAGCGAGCGCAGGTGCTCTTCAACTGTGGCGGCATCTACGACTCGAAGCGGATGGAGGTTGTGCTGAAGGCAGCCTATTCGAAGGTGCACGACACCGAGAAGCGCTCAGTGCTCCCTCGCCGCTCGCCGTTTGCGGCGCAGCGTGAGCACGGGCGCTCCTCTGGGAGTTCGGGCGGTCGCTATCCGCACCCTCCCATGGCTCGTAGGCCATGCGTGCTGCGAGGACGCCCTGGCCAGCACGTACACGAGGTAGAGAACGGCGAAGACTACGATGAACACCACGGCGACCTCGAGGAGGCGCATCATGACGAAGATGAAGCAGACGACCAGGACGATGGAGACCATGGAGGGGCCGAGGGCACCCTCTTCGAGGACGGCGCTGAGGTCGACGAGGAGCTGGTGTCGGACAACGACGGGCCTGACGACGAGGAGTACGAGGCACCGGAGGATCTTCAGGAAGCGTTCTTGGCCGGCTGGAGGGCCAAGCAGAAGACGGCGGTACAGCGTCAGAAGCGCGGGTTCGTTGCTCCTCGGCAGCGGGACCCCAAGAAGATCAACGCTAGCGGCTCCTTCCAGGCTGGTCGGAAGCCGACAGACCAGCGCAAGGCTAACAGCCGGTGTGCTGACTGCGATCAGCCTGGCCACTGGCGTGGCGACCCGGAGTGCCCCAAGGTGAAGAGTGGCGAGCGCGAGCCGTACAACAAGATCGGGCCTAAGAATGGCCAGCCAGCGTCGCCCAACCAGCGGACCTCTGTGAAGCCGCCGGCGCCTAGGCAGGTGCATGGACCGATCGTCCACTGGGTTGGCATGGCAGGCAGTGCCGAGGAGCGTCGTGGCCGCGCTCCATGGCGCCGTGCTCCCCAGTCGGTGCCTGCCCAGAGGCATCCAGTGGAGGGTCGAGCGGACGCGCCAGAGCGGATCATTATGCACCCCAGGCCCAAAAGCATGCCTGCGCCGAGCCTACGCCAGGACGCCGACGACGGCCCAGGGGCCGCACAGAGCAGTGATGAACGCGCGCGCGCCCGTGCCAGGCGCGGGGAGGATCAGGAGGACGAGGATGCTGTCGTGCGTTGCCATCGCATTCTGGCCAACACCCACGCAAAGGGGCACAGCGTGGAGTTGGAGTTTCCTGACCTTGCCACGGTCCATCACATCGTGGAGCGCGTGACGAACAAGAAGCCTATCTTCTTCAAGCAAGGCCGCTTCGAGAGCCTCGACTTCGTCCAGGGTCGGCTCGTGCGCCTGCAGCTGACCACATCGAGGCCTTGTACGGCGGCTGAGGTGGATCTCGACGAGATCACGGCAACTATATTCAAGATCGTGATGGGCGGCAATCGCGATACCAAGCCCCGTGGCGATCGGCGCGGTGAAGGCGGGAGTCGTGACGCCAAGCAGCGTGAAGATCATCATCGAGATCGTCGGGGCGACCGCCAGCGTGATCGGGGAGCTGTTCTTCGCGAGCCTCGCGCCCCTCCTCCGCCCGAGGCGGAGGCTTCCTCGCGTTCAAGGTCGCGGAGTACACCAGGAGGCCGCGGTGTGAAGAAAGAGAAGCGGAGTCCACTAGAAGACCGCGGTGAGAAGGAAGAAAAGGAAGAAAAGAAAGAGAAGAAGAAGAAGAAGGCGAGGAGCAGCAAAGAAGAGAAGAAAGAGAGAAAGAAGGCAAGAAGCAGCAAGGAGGTGAAGAACGAGGACGAGGCCAGCGAGGATCCTGAGGTCACCGAGGACGACAACGACCAGCGGCGTGAGGATCAGGAGGTGCCGTTCACGCCAGAGGAGATGGACGAGATCTTCTGCAGCTGGCATCCGCGTCAGGATATCTTCAGGGATTACCTGACGCCGCCGGCAACCATCCACTTCATCACTAAGAACGATCGCATCGTGCGCCTCAATCTCTACACGCGCCGCTGCGAGAAGCCAGATTTCTCTTTATCCAGCGGCCCTGCGAGGGCCCATCCCGTATGCGTGGTGGAGGCGTCGGCAAAGGGAGCATCGAAGACCAAAGAATCCCCAGACGGAGCTGTGCCTGGACTAACGTCTGCCGCTCCGACTGGGGAGGCCGCCGCTGTCCCTAAGGAAGAGGACTGGGTCATGGCAGGAGCCTCCGAGGAAGTGAGAAAGAGCGAGGAAAAGAAGCGACTAGAGGTTTTGCAGCGTGATAAAGCTGAGTTGCTGGATCGCCTCGCGCTGATAGAGAAACAGGAGATGGAGATGCACGCCGATTGAACCCATGCGAGGTCTACGACGGCCTACAGAAGCGACGTGAGCAGGCACCTCTGCCAGAGCGTGCCCTGCCCACATCTCCTGAGCAGCAGGGAGTCGGAAGCGTGTGGAAGAACATGGAGGCAATACGACGGCGTGTCCACCTTCCAGCGCCTCCAGGAGCCGCGAGCTCAGGTGCCCCTGCCGCTGCGACGGCATCTTCAGCTGCATCTGGAGTCCCGCGTGTAGTCACCGCCTCTGGACGGAGCTACGTCATGAGTGTCGGTGCCACGCAGAGTGACCTGGAGAAGCAGCAGATGCATCGAGCCATGTACGACTCGCAGTTCGACGGCGAGAGGCTGGTTCCAGGCCCGAAGGCGAAGTTCGACCCCGAGCTCATGCAGCAGCAGGCTGAATGTGTTCATCCTGTGGGCGAGTTGAAGTGGCAGTCAAACGGCACCGTGATCTTCGCGAAGTGCAAGAAGTGTTCGCTGAAGTCGGTGATTCATTACACGCTGGAGAAGCCCAAGAAGGATGAATGGGGAACCTTCCAAGAACACCCCAGACGGAGCTGTGCCAGGACAAACGTCTGCCGCCCCGACTGGGGAGGATGTTGCCGTCAAAGGGGGCGCGGACCCCTGGGCAGCAAAGGGCGCAGACCCTTGGGCAGCAAAAGGGGGATCTGCGGCCCACATGGTCACCACCCGAGAGGAGTGCCCCCGCAAGGTGGTAGATGAGCAGTCCGTCATGCTTGTTGTCTTGCCCGCGGGGCTGGCTATGATTGACACGGGCTGCAAGCGGGCTGTCGGTGGACGTCCGTGGCATGTCGAGCTGCAGAAGACTTTGGATGCCATGGGCGTGCCGTACCACAGCATCAATCAGCGCGAGTACTTCAAGTTCGGCCCAGGCGTGCCGCTCTTGTCAGAGCGTGCGTGGTGCTACACAGTCGGCATCAACGGCACGCAGGGCGAAGTTGTGATCTCCGAGGTCGATGCCGAGGTGCCAGGTCTCATCGGCCCTGATGAGATGGCAGAGTGGGACGCAGCAATCAGCTTCAGGAGCGGTACTTTCACGGCGAATGGTGTGACCAAGCCGTTGGTCCCGGCTGCGTCCGGGCATCCGTGCGTGTCATTGCTGGATTTCCCGGCACCGGTCACGAGTGCCTTCCTGAGGATCATGTTTACCTTTGTTTTTTGGGGACTTTTCATATCGATCTGCCGCCTCTGACATCGATAGAACTGCTCTCTCGGGGGCCACAATAACGATGTATGGCGGCGGTGCCGCTCCTATAAATTAACCTGCGGGGGGCTCCGAATCAACGAATATCAGCTTTTCTGAGTGCCGCAACGACGTAAGTTCAGCCGTCGCAAGCGTGATATTACTTGGTGATCGAGCCTCCTTCTCTCCGTATGTTTCATTCTTCCTCCTCTAGCCTCCCACCTCCTGTTCCTCCCGTTTCCTCCTCAGCATCCCGTCTTCCCTTTTCCCTCCTCCTCCTCATCTTCCCTCCTCCTCCTCCTACTCCTCCTCCTCTCCCTCCCTCTTCCGTTCCCTCCTCCTCCCACCTACAGTCGCCGCGGCCCGAGGGTGGCGGGGTGAAGGACCCCCCCGCTCCCCCCTTGGCCTCGAAGAACAAACCCCGCGCCCCATATCCTCGAGTGGCCTCAGAAACAGCCTCAGCACAAGCGGGAGGACGGCAGGGAGAGGCGACGTGGCTGGTTTGTTCAGCCATTCTCTCGTCCTCCTCCCTCCTCCTCCTCGTCCTCCTCATCCTCCTCCTCCTCCTCGCAATTCTTCTCCGCTCTCTCCTCCTCATCATCTTCCTCTGCCTCTCTCATCCCTGCCTCCCTTCGCCCTCCTCCCACTCCTATGCGCTGATCCTGTTACCCTGCCTTCCCGCCCCTCCCTTCCGTCTCCTCCTCCTCCGCATTCCTCCTCTTCCGTCATCCTTCTCCTCATCCTTCGCATCCATCCCCCTCGTCCTCCATCATCTCCCAATAGTTGCCTACTCAAGCTATGCATTCGGAGCAGTGGCCGTCCACCGTTTACCGCAAACGAACCTTCTCCCTCATCCCTCTATCATGCCTCCTCCCTCCTCCCTCACCCACCTCGCCCCTTCAAACGCCCTTGCTCAAGCATGTGCTGACTCGGGAAACGGCTCAATCATGCACTGACCCAGGGGCCAAGGCCTACTTGCGGGCCCACTGTCAACGATAACGAGGTTTCAACTCCTCGACTTGACCCCCTCCCTGCGCCACTGTCGGAACTGAGCGGGTCAACTGGCGGTGGCTCGACATTTCTTCCGTGCGCGCCGAGCAGCGGAGTGAGCGGCAACCGAGGTCAAGATAGGGCGGCACCCGCCGCGGGCTTCTCGATTGGGTGTGTGGCGGGGGGGGGGGGGCGCGCCATGCCCCATGCGACGCCACATATGATGTGAACGCCCCCCTCCCTCCACTATACCACTGCGCTGCAAGCTAAAAAATAATAATTATGAATCGAACTGATTCTGGAGAAGGCGTTGCCCGTCGTCCACATGAAGCTGACACGAAGCAGAAAAGGCACTCGGAGTAGCGTGGGCACTGGAACGCATTGGCAACCCCTGGGCCCTAGCGTCAGGCCCCTGAGAAACGCAACCCTCGGCGTTCGAAGTAGGAGTGCGCTTAATGGCATCGGGGGGATGGCTGGGGATCTGACGACACTTGCCCCCAACAATTGGCGGAGGTGGGCTGCTAGGTGGGAGGGAGGCGAGGCTGAACCCAATGAACATGCACGCCCTATTGAGAAGGCCGTGCGGTCGGGGCCGCCGACCCTGAATGGCGGCGACGACGACGACGACGAGCGTTCTTGGGGGCCTCTTGGGGGTAATTTGTGGGCCTCTTGGGAAGCTCTTAGGGGCCGCTTGGAAGCCTCCTGGGGGCCTCTTGGGGCTTCCTGGGGGTCTCTTGGAGGGGGCCTGGGACGTCTTGGAGGTTGGAGGCGAGACTGAACCCAATGAACATGCACGCCCTATTTCATTAGAAAGCTCAAGGGCACCTGCGGATCCTTCCGCGGAGCCTTGGAGAACTTCGAGTCGTCCCAGTCGGCCATGCGCTTGCGGGTGCATTTCATCAGGGGCGTGACGTCTTCCAGCGTCTTCAGGAAGGGAATGGTGTAGTGGTACGTGCGCTGGATGCCAGCATGGTCCTTGGCAGTGATCTGGATCTCCTTGTAGTTGACCTCGTGAGTCGGCAACGGCACAGCCGCGGCAGCGGCTGCCCTCTTCCGCTCAAGGGTGTCGTCCGTGTCTTTTGCGGTCGGAGTGACGTTCTTTGGAGGTGCCGTCGGAACGATGAGCCAGGGGCAGCAGAAATCGGACCTCAAGTGGTTCATGAACTTCGTGCCGTCGAGGTAGAGCTCGGGGCCGCGCGTGCCCTTTGAGCCGACGATCCCGTTGCCGAGGGGCATCGCGAGCTCTTTCTTCAGATTCTTCACATCCCTGTCGTCCACCACCCTGCCCCAGTAATACATCACCTCCGAGTTGGACTTCTGAGGTGGCGCGCTCTCGAAAGCGACACTTGCCATGGCACCGCCCTTCGTCGACTTCTCCTCCACGGTGATGCTGATATTGTCGTACATGTCGTCCTTGTAAGGGATGCTCGTCATGTTCTCATTGATGGCGACCTGCAGCTTCCCCATGATCTCCCGAGCGTGCGCGCACACGATGTTCTTGGCAACGTCGGCGTCCTTGAGTTCCGTATCGATCGCTTTCAGCATCGAAGCTTTGAGCGTAAGAGGGGGTGTTCCTGGCAGACATTTGCCATCGCCGCCAGCTGTGCTGGCTGCATGGGCGGGGCCCTTGACAGCAACCGCCGCCGCCCGCTGCCTCTCCGTCTCGACGTGGCCCGCCAACTTCTCCAACACAACAGCGCCGCACTCAGGTCCAAGCAGTGCCCTAGTCAAGATGATCTCCTGGTGGCTGGCATCGTAAAGCTTTTCGGCCTTGCGAACGAAGTCGTTCCTGAACGTGATGAAGTTGGCAGGGAGGTCAATGTTGTCCAAGCCGCGCGTCGCCTTCACGATGGCGATGGCCTCATCTCGGGACGCGGAGTGCAATGACTTCAAGAGCTCCGCCTTCGAGGCCTCGTAGCCGTTGGCGTCGTGAAGCTGGATGTGGTCGCACAGCGAATGGACGACTTGCCCGAACATTTTTGCGATGTCAACGAAAGAGCGGCCGTCGGCGAACAGCTCGAGGGTCACCTTCGGGCCTGGCAGCTGCGAAAAGCTTGCACTCCCAATCGCGTGGCCGAGTTTGCTGGTGTCGACGGAGTCTCTGATGGCGCCCGACGCCCTCTGGGCCCATGGCTGGACCAGCGGGCCGTGAAAAGGTTGCTTGCCATCTCGGCTATCACTCGGCGGCGAGATGATGCACGACTGGTGCCCGATGCACGTCGCCACGTGCATGAGGGAGCCGAACTTCACGCACTTCAACGCGACTTCAGTTCCATCGGACATTTTTTCCCAGGGGCTGTTCCTCGGAATGATCAGCTTGCTTCCAAGGGCGGTCTTGATCTCTCCGAAAACGACGGCCACGCGAATCCACGCATCAGGGACAGCGTCCTCGATGCACTTGGCCGAGGCCGTCATGAAATACACAGTTGCCTCCTTCTGATTTGTGGGCAGGTCGCCAGCAGTTCCTGTAGCCTGGGCGCAGACGATCGCACCCACGCTCTGCCCGATGATCGGCCTTGAAGAGAAGGGTGGGAGAGGAACGATGCTTGCCTGGTCAGCCCTCCGCGGGCCCCCTCGGACAGCCGCGCGTTCGGGCCTGTAAACGCAGTTTTTTTTCTACCAGGCTCGTTGGTGCGATTTCGGGAATTGCACCAACGAGCCTGGTAGAAAAAGTACCCCAACAAACGACGGCCGCGAGAGGGCAAGGGAAGGGGGTGGAGGAGGGCCCCAGAGGAGAGGAGAAGGTGGGAGGGGGCGACGACGCGCCTGGCCGAAATGGGCACCGCGTCCATGTTCGCCGCGAGGAACTCAACGATCTTGGACGCAGTGCCCGACTCCGCCTCGAAGAACTCAGACGCGCGGTCCATGTCCCACCCGCGGTCGGCGATCGCCTTGTTGCCGTCCACCGCGTCGCCGCCATCGACCAAGTCTGGGTCTGACACGCGAGGTGCCAACTTGGCCATCTTGTATACGTGGAGTTTGGCCAATCGAACAAGCTCAGTCCAACCTTTAACCTTCTTGACCTTTCCATCAACTAGGAGCTCGACTGACGTCGTGTTGGCCATGATCATGTAAAGGCCGATGGACATCATGCTGCGGATGCCGTCCTCCTGGCGGCTGTCGATACTCACCAATCTGTCAACGGTGTGCTTCCAATGGTCAAGCGCGTCGCAGTCGGCCTCGTCGGCGTCGAACTGGAAGCTGGGCGCGCCCATGTCGGGAACTGCTTGCTGCTGCTGGACAGCACTGATACCAGCTGAAATTGATGCCGATCGCCCCCTGCCCCTGCTGCTGCGGCCACGGGCCCTGCCTCTGCCCCCGCTCTCGCCGCGACCCCTGCTCGAAGTTGGCGGTGTATCAGGGCTATCTTGCTGGAGAATCTTTGCGGCACCCACCTTCGACAACAAGCGCAGCATCATGTCATCCGTGATCTTGATGCGGTCCACGCCCTCACAAATCGCGGAAGCCCCCGCGCGTTTTTTGAGGGGCAACCCGAATGCCAGCACGCTCGTGATCATGTCGGGGTGGTCATGCTTGAGCCTCGAGAAAACTAGCTTCACTACGCCGAACACTTCGGAATGCTGCTGGGCAAAAGGGTGCTTGAATTCGACGCGCTTCTGGGAGAAAGATACGAAGTCATCCCACACGCTGACCTTCGCGGCCGCGTCGACCGTGTATTTCTTGGACTCGTCGAAGAAACTGATCATAGTGGTCAGCGCCGTGGGGTTCGGCCAGCGACCAGGGTGGATCTTCTCGGCAACCTTAAATCTAGCGACGTTGTACTTGTTCTGGCCACCCACAGAAGCAACAGTCGCACCAGGGTTCTCCACCTTGTAGCGCGCCACGACATCGCGAGTGGACCTGCATACCTGTAAATAGGTCGTCGCCGTCGCCTCGGTGTTGACCTCGTTCTTGTAGTCGACGTAAAACTTGCACACCGCATCAGGCGTGTCCTTGAAGAGAAGCCTGCAGCCCATTATGGGCTTAGAGAGCGACTCCACCAACATTTTGTTCGTGTTGAAGTCAGGGCGGGCATAGCATTGCTTAGCCCCTTCAATGAGGGTGGCCCAGTCCAGCGCCATGAAGCGCTCCCCCACTGCGGTGTCATCTCCTTCTGGCGGCTCAATGAGAGTAGGCGGCGCCCGAACCTCCATGATGCCGTGCTTCCACACAGACGCTGCCCTATCGTCGATGGAGCCCTCGTCACCACGATCGTTCCTGGGGTCCCGATCCACCGCGAAGACTCCCTCCCGAATGAGCGTCACTGTCTTCTTCGGGTCCTTTGTGTAGAGGGCATCCGATATTATCTTCAGTTGGGCCACGTCCAAGTCAGTGCCAAACATGTCCCTAATTGTGAACGCATCGTTATTCCAAATGTTCGGGAACCTCTTCATAGCAAGGGCGACCAAGAGATCCTTGTTATAGCCTGCTGCTCTGGACTCTTCAGATTGAACAACACCCGCTGAAGGCACCACTGCAGCAGACTGCCCATCTGGTGACGACATCACACTGGCTCGCTGATGGATTGCAATTCCACTGAATATCACCGTGAGCGATACAAAGATTGCTTGAGCTGAAACGGTTGCGGAGAGTTAAGGTGACGGCACCCAGCTTCCGCCATTTACTGTTGCAGGCAGTTGCGATGACCAAGGCATGTTGAGTGCAGCCGGCCTTGTTTCATATCGATCTGTTTCATCATCATAATATTATTCCCCTCCTCCTTCTCCTCCTCCTCCTTCCCTCTCCCCCCCCCCTGCATATGGAGCCCCTCCATATCGATCGGGATGCATCTGGAGCCTTTCCATATCGATCGGGATGCATATGGAGCCATTCCATATCGATCGGGATGCATATGGAGCCCTTCCATATCGATCGGGATGCATATGAGGCCCTTCCATATCGATTGGGATGCATATGGAGCACTTCCATATCGATCGGGATGCATATGAGGCCCTTCCATATCGATCGGGATGCATATGGAGCCCTTCCGTATCGATCGGGATGCATATGAGGCCCTCCATATCGATCGGGATGCATATGAGGCCCTTCCATATCGATCGGGATGCATATGAGGCCCTTCCATATCGATCGGGGTGCATATGAGGCCCTCCATATCGATCGGGATGCATATGGAGCCCTTCCGTATCGATCGGGGTGCATATGAGGCCCTCCATATCGATCGGGATGCATATGGAGCCCCTCCATATCGATCGGTATGCATATGAGGCTCTCCATATCGATCGGGGTGCATATGGAGCCCTTCCATATCGATCGGGATGCATATATGGGTCCCTCCATATCGATCGGGATGCATATGGGGCCCCTCCATATCGATCGGGGTGCATGTGAGGCCTCAGGGAGCCTGGTAGTCTCAAGAGGGCCTAACACAGCATCAACGGTCCCAGAAGTGTCTCAAAAAGTAATTACTCCAACACGGTGGAGGAGTGAAGGCGACACGATAGCTAACTTTTTTTTGCCCAGCGCACGCTCGAGCCAAAATACCTATGAGCCAAAATTGCGACGGACGTCAGTAAGGGGCGTTTTCTTCAACGCAAACTCGGCAGCCCCGAAACAAGACAGCCTCTGGAAACGGTGTCTCGTTGCCTGGGCCACGTCGATTTGATGCCTCCCGATGGGTTTGACCAACGTGGTTCTCCCGATGGGTTTGGCCAACATGGTTCTCACGATGGTTTTGACCAACGTGGTTCTCCCGATGGGTTTGACCAACGTGGTTCTCCCGATGGTTTTGACCAACGTGGTTCTCCCGATGGTTTTTACCAACGTGGTTCTCCCGATGGGTTTGGCCAACGTGGTTCTCCCGATGGTTATGACCAACGTGGTTTTCCCGATGGGTTTGGCCAGCGTGGTTCTCCCGATGGTTCTGACCAACGTGGTTCTCCCGATGATTTTGACAAATGTGGTTCTCCCGATGGGTTTGGCCAACGTGGTTCTCCCGATGGTTTTGACCAACGTGGTTCTCCCGATGGCATTGACCAACGAGCGTCAAGAATAGGAAAAACGATGTAGAGCGGTAGAGGTGGAGGAGGAGGAGGAGGAGGAGGAGGAGGAGATCCGCTGCACTTAAGGGCCCCTTAAGTGCAGCGGGCTGTCTTGGCCTCCGGCATAGGGTTCAACTTTGCCCCCCACGCGCCTAGGGCGCGCGCGCGTAGCTCCGGCCGCGCGGACGGCTGCGTCCGACTGGACATCGAGCCGATAGCGATAGCGATAGCGATAGGAGGAGGAGGAGTAGGAGGATAGGGCATAGGGTGACGGAGAGGAGACGAGGAGGAGGACGAGCAGGAGGAGATGGAGATGGACGTGGAGGTGGATTCTGGACAGCGAGAAAGGTTCCCACCTCCACCAGCCCACTTCGCTCTCCCAGCCTACCCCCTCCAGACGGGGAGAGGAGAGGCTAGACTGGTCAGGACTTGATTGCTTCGTCTACTCCCCCGCTCTGTCGCAACATTGGCTCATGCTCGATTGCTCAAGGCTGCCCAGGCTGCCACGCGCCTGGCGCGAGAGAAACAAGTTGGCGCTATGCATCGCCTGCGCAACACAGAGGGCATGCCCACGACTCTGCTGCGAAAGCTGGCCTTGCGAATCCCGAAGGGACGCCCGCAGCAACATGCACAACATGTGCGCAACGCGCGTGCCAACATGACGTGCAGCGGAAACACATGAACACGTCCTCACTTGCGGGAAGGGGTGCCACGCCTATGGCGTGCTCCTGCAGGCTTGAGCACAGCAAGCAAACGCATGCCTCACTCGTTGCACCCTGCGGTCCAGCGTACAACTTGGCATTCTCTGCCGACCCGAGTAATCTAACCCAGGCTGGCATCATCTCTGCATCCTCCGTTCTCTTGCGCTTAAGGTACACAGCAGGAATGTTCGCCACAATCACCCTTGCATCTCGAAACGAACGGCTAGGGTTATTTTTGTAAATGAGTGCTTTGATGTGGCCCCGTGGCCATAAAGTCAGAGTCCTACCCATCTTCGAATCAGGGTTCTCCCAATACACATATCCGCCAGCCAATAGTGGCCACGTGGCTGGGCCTTAGCTGCTGGGTCGTGCCATGCCCTTCCGAAGCTAGGGAAAGCGACAGCCCCGACAGTTCTCCGATCGATCCCCATAGCGCCTCGAGAACATTGGCCCTTCCCAGAAGAGGCAACCACTGAGTGCATCGGGGTGCGTGGGAACCATCCAACAGCCACTCCCCCCACCCCCCAAGAATTGACCCTCTTGGGCCGTAGATCTGCCGAAGGCGGGTGTCGCCGCTAGGCGTCGTGATTGAACGTTGCGATCGCTAGTTTCGACTAATGACATCCCGCCTTTCCTGGGCGGCCTCAAATGGTCGGGCTCCCTCGATTTGTCGAAGGCCTCCACAACTCGCGCTCGCATCGCTTCCCGCGTCGACGCGACAGCTGCCAATGCAGCCGCCCGCGTCTCGGGGCTGCTGGCTACGAGCGGGATGTCAGGGCCAGGGGTGCCGCCGTCGCCGCCGCTGCCGCTGCCTGTGCAGTCGGGCGGTTCAGGGCCTGCGACGCCGAGGCCGTCGGCCGTGAGGATCACGTCGTCTGGCGATGCTGTTGCGCCGCCGTCGTCGTCGAAAACGTCCGCGGTGTCGACATCCTCGTAGAGACCCGCGTTCTCGTCCATCAGCGTCGCGAGATCGTGGCCGACGTCGCCGTCGCCCTCTATGCCCTCGAGGTCATGGGCGGGAGCTTCGTCAGCTGGCGCGGCTGGTGCCGGTGCTGGCGCGGCCGCGCCAGCGCCCGCGGGCGCAGCCTTGGCCGTCTTGAGAGCCATCGTGAGCCGTTGGTGCCCGCTGTTCTCAGAGCTCACAGTCGCCACGCCGTTGGACCACGAAAGCGAACTCCAGACCAAGTAGACAGGCTTCTTTGGGTGATCCTTGTATGTGCGGAGGAAGTCGATGCTATAGCAATAATCGAGCAGCGGGATTGGGTCTGGCCATCCTTCGTTCAACTTGAAAATCAAATTGCCTGCCCCGTCGTCGGAGCACACTCCCCTGCGAACAGTTACTTTGGTTCCATACGTAAAAGCCACAACAAACCCAGCAGTGATGACGTGCCCAGCCTTGTCGCTGATATCGTAAACAAAATCGGGGAGCTCGTCCACGATATGGTAAGCAGACAGCGCAGCCCTCGCGCAGTATAGCTTGTCGACTGGAGACACATGGGCGCACGACTCCACGAGCTTCTTCTCTGACGGCAACCCGCCGCCACCGACTGGGACCACGGCGCGGCAAAGGCGTTCTCGGTGCCATGCCGTGTCGGCCAGCACCGTTGCCTCGGAGCGAGGGCCGAGAGAAGAGAATGAGCCAGGAGAAAGATGCAGGAAAGGAGAAGGATGAGCGGGGTGCCTGCTCATCAAGATAGCAGCAATCCTCCACGGTCAACCTGAACTGCCTACTCTTGATGATCATGCGAGCGTTGGCCGTGGACGCTTTCATCGCTGGGGCTCGGTTAGCCATGCATTGAATCACGTTGTTGAAGCCCTCGATGTCTTGAGTGTGCCCTGATATCGAAGCCCTCAGCGACAAGCAGAAGCCGTACAACGCATGGTGGCATATGCCAAGTTCCTTGGCCACTCCGATCTCTGCGCGAAATGCTGCCTTGAACTTTATTGCAAAGTCTGAGAACTCATCCTGCAGACAACAGTCGTCAGTATCTAGCAACGCGGACGCCACCTCCCTCCGACGTGGACAATCAATGTCTGCAGACTTCTCGCAGAACGCAAGGGCCGCCAAAGGAAACGATGAGCACATCTTTGTGAACCGCATGTGCCACTGGGCCTGCGCCTTCAAGGTAAGCGCCATGATTAGGAGATTCGCCCGTGGAAGAGCAGCAGGAGGGAGTTCTGAAAGAGGGCCGCCCCATAGATCTGTAGCGCGAAACGCAGCAGGGTCCATCAACGCACGTATCTGACCAGCGACCTCCTTCGCCTTAAACTGCACAAGGTCGGACACAAACGTCGGGCCGAAGTACGACTGCCCATTCGCGACGGCATCGTCTTGATACTTGTTTGTTTCCCGAATGCGCTTCTGGGCCCAATTGAAATATCCCACCAGAGGATTCTTCGCAATGAGCGAAGCGGCCACCATGAATTGGAAACGACGGTCCCCCGACATAGCGCATGCGTTTGATCTCATGGCCCTGGCGTGCGCCTGGTAGGCTGCGTCTTCATCGCCGCCGACTGCTGCGATGGTGACCTTCTTTTTATTCACATCCATCCACCTGCGGAGCACGGCGTGGACTAGCGGAAGCCTGCCCATCAAGAAAGCCTCGACGTCATCCATAGACCCCCATCGCCCCCGAAGGCATCGACTGGGCACGGTCGAGAAGTTGTTAGTCGCAACCTCGTCATCAAAGAGAT